AAAATTTTCACATGAAAATTATCCAAATTAATTTCAAAATTTTCAGGGAAAGCCCACTTTTTTTAATATTGCCCCCCATTGGTACCTAAATTTTATTTTTGCTTTTGATTTTGCTGACATATCAGGCCATTAAGAGAGAAGCAAAGCTGAAATTGATAAATATCATCAATTTAAAAATGTAGTTTAAAAGATAAAACTTCAATTAATTCAATGCAACTGTCACCAAATATGGTCTTCGAATATTTTAACTTTAAAAACAGTATTCTCAATCATGGCTGTGCCTCTAGTGAGAATACTGTAATAAAAGCTCACTGTATGAAATAAAATTTCATCATACACAAAAAACAAACAAAATATTCTTTATTTATTTTTATCTTTATTTTAATAAAGGCTGAGTTCAGTCAATCAAAAATTCGGATAGTGGAACAAGGCAGACTTCAACTGGTGAAAGAACAAGAAAAGTAAGTTAGTTATATATTATATGCAAGGCCGGCAAAATCAATTGTCCCTATTGCCTAGGTTGTCCCACAGCCTGTACGGACAAGTGCAGATTTTCAAGAATTAACTATGTAAATATCATACAGACAAGTTAAAAAATGCTTCACATAGAAACGGACAAGTAAGTCAAAAGCAGATTTTGCCGGCCCTGAATATTATGTACATTTTATGACTTAATATAAATCTGATATTTAAAGACAATTACCACCAAGTGCTTGTTATCCCCCGCCGATAGATAGAGGGATATTGTTTTGGCGTTCTCCAATCATCCGAATTTCGTTTCTGGACTAGTTCTCTGCAACTACTGGCTGGAATTCAACGAAACTTTATGGGAATCATCAATATCAAGAGGAGATGGGCATATCGTCAGCTTGTTCCAGTCAGACCTTTTAACTCAGAGTTATGGCCCTTGATTAGTTATGAAGTATGCATATAGAGTAAAAATCGTTTCCGGACTAGTTCTCTGCAACTACTGGCTGGAATTCAACGAAACTTTATGAGAACCTTCAATACCAAGAGGAGATGCGCATATCGTCACCTTGTTCCGGTCAGAAACTTTAACTCAGAGTTATGGCCCTTGATTAGTATGCATATAGAGTAAAAATCGTTTCCGGACTAGTTCTCTGCAACTATTGGCTGGAATTCAACAAAACTTTATGGAAACCTTCAATACCAAGAGGAGATTCGCATATCGTCGCCTTGTTCGGGTCAGACACTTAAACTCAGAGTTATGGCCCTTGATTAGTTATGCAGTATGCATATAGAGTAAAAATTGTTTCCGCGCTATGTCTCAGCTTCTACTGGCTGGAATTCAACAAAACTTTATGGGAACCTTCAATACTATGAGGAGATGCGCATATTGACGCGTCTTTGTTCTGGTCAGACACTTTAACTCAGAGTTATGGCTCTTGATTAGTTATGCAGTATGCATATACAGCAAAAATAGTTTCTGAACTACTTTTCTGCAACAACTGGCTGGAATTCAACAAAACTTTATAGGAACCTTCAATAAAAAGAGGAGATGCGCATATCGTCAGCTTGTTCCGGTCAGACACTTTAACTCAGAGTTATGGCCCTTGATTAGTTATGCAGTATGCATATACAAGAAAAATAGTATCTGAACTACTTTTCTGCAACAACTGGCTGGAATTCAACAAAACTTTATGGGAACCTTCAATACAAAGAGGAGATGCGCCTATCGTCAGCTTGTTCCGGTCAGACACTTTAAATCAGAGTTATGGCCCTTGATTAGTTATGCAGTATGCATATAGAACATTATATTCGTTTCCGCACTACTTCTCTGCAACTACTGGCTGGAGTTCAATGAAATTTTATGGAACCTTAAATACCAAGAGGAGATGCGTATATCATCGCTTTGTTCCGGTCAGACACTTTAACTTATGTTAAAGTTATGGCCCTTGATTACTTATGCAGTATGCAACCAGAGCAATAATCTTTTCCGTGCTACTTCTCTGTAACTACTGACTGGAATTCAACGAAACTTTATGGAACCTTAAATACAAAGAGGAGATGCGTATATCATAGCCTTGTTCCGGTCAGACACTTTAACTTACGTAAAAGTTATGACCCTTGATGTTTTATGCAGTATGCCACCAGAGCAATAATCTTTTCCGTGCTACTTATGTGTAACTAAAGGCTGGAATTCAATGAAACTTTACGGGAACCTTCATTACCAAGTGGAGATGTGCATATAGTCTCCTTGTTCCGGTTTGACACTTTAACTCTGAGTTATGGCCCTTGATTAGTTATGTAGTATGCATATAGAGCAATATTGCTATTTCTTTGCAACTGCTGTATTGATTTCAACAAAACTTTATGGCAACCATGGATACACAAAGGCAATTTACATCTCATTGGCATGTCAATATATTACTATCTAACACAGAGTTATGGCTCTATAATTGCCCTGAATATTTATCAAGTACAAAGAATATTATTGTTTATGCCATGATAAATATATAAATAAAGCCTTAGTATGTCTTCGGTTGTTGTGTTAGTAATAACCAGTATTCGGCGGGGGGATATAAATTCAACGAATTTGCTTGTTGAAGTCTTGAAGTTGTTCAAAAAAAGTTGGACATGTTAAGACATTGACTGGTATATTAGACTCTGTATTTCAGGCATGCCTCTGACAAGATGAAACTTGTAGAAGAAATAAATAGTTTAAAGGAACTACTAGCTACTTATGAAAAATCCATAGACAGAAAGGATCAAGTAATCTCTAATCTGACGCATGCAATGCAGAAACAGAAAGATAAAAATGAAATGATGAGAACATTCTGTGAGTGGAAGATGAAACATAATGATTTCAAAAGAGAGGTATAACTTTACATACAGATTAACCGACAGATATTTAATAAAAAACTTGACAATAAGATTATATAAAAATGTAAAATTTCAGACTGAAAAGTAGATTATTTTAGATTTTTATTGTACCGGGGCATGAATCATGTTCGGGACGCCTCCGGGACAGACACCTAATATCTGGGACATTCCTGCATGAATGCTTTAATGTATAAAGCTATATTTCTGCTGCAAAAATTATAGTTTGTATTTTAAAAAATGCTTCTTCCAAAATGTTTGTATGAAAGAAATATGATAGTAAACTTCCTTAAAAATGGATGTGCACATACACGAAATAATGCACGGAAGGGCACCTGAAGTCGTCCTCCACCAGTTAAGCTGGAACGTTGCCATATGACCTGTACTGTGTTGGTATGACGTAAAAACAAACTTAATATTTTTCAGACATTTTGTACCATGATAGCTAAGAAGCATCATCAAAGATGTTTACAAAGAAAAGTTTGGGATGCTTGGCACTCGGTCATAGAGACAAAATGGAGGGTGCGTGTTGAAAAAGCCTGTCAGGCGAAGGCACAGGAAGTTTGTATTCAGCTCACGAACAATTACGAGGCAAAACTGGCTTCTGTAAGTTAATTTACCGGTTGTTTTGTTACCTTCCTTCCAGTTAGTGCTTTCAATGTTATACACATATCTTCATACAGTAATGTATAATATTATAATCATAAAAGGTATAATTATGATGCAACATTATAATATATGTGGAAAACGTCAAAATAAGATTGTTTATTGTAATTGTAGCCAGGGAAACAGACTAAGGTATACCACTGTTTCTATTCTTGCTCAAAATATTTAAGTGATACCTTCCTACCCCTTATTGTTTAAAGGGAGAATAAGTCAAAGGTTTGAATCAGAGTTAATAGCATAAATTACACAATTATCATGTAACCATCCAAAGCCAGAGGCATGGGGTTCTTTTAATATTATGGGCTGGACTGGGAGGTAACTTTGATAAGTAATCAGATATCGTATGTATGTCTAATGCATGTATACTTATATAAACATAATGAATTATTTTTCCACATGTTATTAAATGTAGGCAAATGAAGAGTTAGAAAGTGTGAAGGCGGAGGTAGCTCAGATGCATAAAGAACGTGAACGTTACGAAGAGATGATGAAGAAAGCGTTCATGCGTGGAGTTTGCGCCCTTAATCTCGAAGCGATGACAATATTTCATAACAATGAGGAAAAAGAGAACAAAGACATAGGTAAACTATTTGACATAGATTTTGAAATTGAGAAAATGTGAAACTGAGACCATGTGACTTGAAGTTGAGAAAATGTGAAACTAAGACAATATTACTTTAAGTAAGAAAATGTGAAACTAAGATTTGACCGAAAGTGAGAAAATGTAAAACTAAGACCATGTGACTTAAGTAAGAAAATGTTAAGTAAAGAATGTGTAACCTAAAGTGTGAAATATGAAACTAAGACCATGTAACTTAAAGTAAGAAAATGTGAAGCTAAGACCATGTAACCTAAAGTGTGAAATATGAAACTAAGACCATGTGACTTAAAGTAAGAAAATGTGAAGCTAAGAACATGTAACCTAAAGTGTGAAATATGAAACTAAGACCATGTAACTTAAAGTAAGAAAATGTGAAACAAAGTCCTTGAGACTTGAAGTTGAGAAAATGTGAAAATAAGACCTTGGTTTAAACATCTTTATTTTAGCTTGATTGCAAAACAAGTTCTTGCAAGTTATATTAATCACTTTTAAGGAAATAAGACCTTGTTTCCTAAAGTGAGAAAACGTGAAACTAAGACCATGTGACCTTAAGTAAGAAAATGCGAAACTAAGATAATGTCATATAAATTTCTTTACCACTAAGTTAGTATTAAAAGAATAAACAAATCATGTCCAACAGATCTTTATGGTAATTTTTGTTTGAAGTCAATTAATTATACAATTAGTTTGTAACATAGGCATTTAAAGCTGCATGCAATTGTTTGTACCTGTGGAAATGACGAAAATTAACTCAAAACATAAACAGATACAGGTGCCCTGTCAAAAGGACATGTCTAAAACTATACCGTGACTACTAAATGGACAGTGTCTGTATGTTAGCTGTATTTGCACTTCAGAAAAAACTTATTTCTTTGTGTTGAAAATGAAATAATTATATATACAAAAACAATCAAATTTTGAAATAATTTTGTAAAATAAAAATCCAATAGATCTAAATCAATTATCATCATACTTACTGTCTTGATCTGAGATTCATCATTCACAATTGTCTACATTTTAGTCTATGACCATATCTTAGCAACACTTAAAAATGGCTGAAAACAATAAAGTTGTTGGGACAAAAAGAAGGCTAAAATTTCAAATCAAATTCCCATTTCGAAACATTTTGGGTTTGTTGAAAAAAAGTGGGTTGTAAACATAAAATAAGTCCCAAGTTAGATTTGTTGTATGACAGCCATTTAGCGGCAATACATTTAACTTGAGATCACATCTTGTTGGGGAAAGGTTAACCCTTCACCTCATATATAAGCGAAACAACGCACTTTCGCCCCCCCCCCTCTTTTAGGCCTCAAAAAGTGAAAAAATCCCCTTTTTAGGCCCCAAAGACTGTTTTTCGTTTAAGAAATGTTGTTGAAAAAAGTGACCACTTTTTCGGCGCGGCCTCCATCCAAAAGATACATCAGGGGGTTGCCAGAAGGGTGAAGTGGCAGTCCCTTTCATTGCCAAGAAAGGTTTGGACTTGTGAGAGGCTAAAAATGACCCCAGATCAATCATAATGTAACGTTTAACCAAGGATGAAAAGCATTTGACTCTATCTCAATCCATTGAGAAGTTGCAGCACTTTGAAACCAATTTTAATGGAAAAAATCAACGCAAAATAGTGAATTTGGGCAATTTTGAGATGTCCCCTCATTGCCATGGTAACATCAAATTAAGCCTGAGCATGTTGTTACAAAGGCAATGTCCAGTCAACATTTGTGCCAAGTTTGATTAGTATTGAAGCAGTTTTTATAGTTTTATAGCAATTTGAACTTGTAACGGGCGACTTTTCAATGAAAACAGCCATTTTTCACAAAATGCTCATGAAATAATGGGTCAAACATCAGTCAAGTGCCAGCACCGATTGTAAAAACAATATAGTCAGTAGGCTATTACTTAACAATAAAATAATTTGTAAAATTCCTAACATGTACAAAATAAATAAATAAATATGTATATAAATAAAATGAATTATTATTCTAACTTTGTCAAGTAAAAATGTAACAATGGTTTAGATTGATACCGTGTACATAGTACATATTACACATGTATGTTGACACGTCTCCAAAACAATTGGATTAGCGATTATTAGACATTGAACGTTAGAGATTCAACTTGGTTAATTAGACACTTTAAATTTTGCTTTGCAGTTAGATTTTGTTAATGTATGTACATGTATATCAAAAACATTTTACTCAAACGAAACCATTATAAACAAGATATTTTTCAAACTTACAAACAAATTTACCGACTACTGGTAAAAATTAATGTAAAATGGTACGAAAACGGTATGGTATAGAAAAAATATTGGATTCAAAATTGGGACAAACGTTCTTGTACTGGCCGTTTGATCTGGTAATTTTGGCTGTTTGGGGATGAAAATGGGTGGCCGTTGGCGGTGTTGAGCAGGGGGCCGTCTTATAAGAGACAAATATATAGTAATTTACATTGGGGATGTCCAGAGATGGCGCACTTAGGCAGGTGGTGCTTTTATAAAGGTTGCCGATCGGGCAGTTTTGACTGTAGTTTGTAACGTAGGCATTTAAAGCTGCGTGTCTCCAGAAGAGCCTAAATATTTTGAGAAATTCAAGCTTGAGAAAATTGTACTAAGATTTTAAGAAAAGTAAAAAGATTCCTGATTCAAGTTATAATTCACATGTTATGATTAATGATTGCTTTTGCAATATCTATCACCATATATCTACTGCATTACTATTGCAATAAAGGCTATTTTTGCATATTTTGACCTCCTTTTGTGCCTTTTGCAATGTCTAAATTACAATCTTTGTTCACTTCATAATATTTTACTTTTGAATACATTTTCAATTTGTTTTAATCAGGAAATGTACATATACCTGATGATATCAGTGAAAACATGAAAGACAGTATACCAGAGAAAGATTACAGTATACCTAAAACATTACCACATGATCAACATGAAAGAATTGTAACTAGTGAAGGGTCACGACCTTCTACAGTAACACAGGGCCGACCATTGGTTAGTATAGTTAAAACTTTCTATTCCATTGGATTATAAATAAACAATTTTGAAGGCACTCACCGCAGTTTTCATACCAACATATAGGCAGAATGAAAATGTTTTTTTAGAAATTTTGTAAGCATTTTGTGATCTTCTAATATGATAACAGAAGCATTCAGGCGAATAAAAATGTCACCAAACTTGTTTTTTTTTTAAACATTTAGTTATAGGAAAAAATAGGGAGAGAGTTGTCCTCACCCAGGCATCACTTTTTGATTATGTTTTTGTGTGGAAGTTGGTATGTCAAAAATTACTGAAGAGAAAGGTTTAATACTTAACACACTTATTTGAGAGCATAATAGGAGGTCACTTTTTAAGGGCCATAACTCTACCATTAATTTTGACAGAATTATGGTCTTTTCTTAACTTAGGATATTCTACATTATCCAGGCTGTGGTTTCATATCACATACTTAAATTAGTCGAGCATGCTGTCCTACCGACAGCTCTTGTCAGTGTGTAATAAAAATTTTGTATGCATGGAAGGTAAGATTGAAAGATTGCTAAATGAAAGGATTGTCTGTCCTTTAAAATCAAGATAAGATAACTTTTTGCGGGTTTATGCTCCTTTTACTTTTTCTTTTTTCATAAGCTGTATGTACACATAATGTCACTTTAGTGCAGAAAGTGGTTAAGCCCTTTTACATTTAATAGGAGTTTATAAGTTATTGCACTTCAGTGAGGAATTTTTCACCTGTGCACATGACCTTCGACATTTCTCAAGGAATTTCAGCCAGATGCCATGAAAACTTGGCATGTGTCAATGCCTGTCTCGTGTATATTTATTCAAATTCTTTTATTTTTTTCCATCTTTTACATCTTTACATAGAGTTCAAAGTCAACAGGAAAACCAGGAATGTCAAAACATTTATCTACAAAGGTTACTTCAAAAGTTGACAGTAGGATGTCAAAAGGGGTGGGGTCACAAGTTTTAGCTCCGCCCATGACCTCAGTGACCGTAGAACGCCATCAGCCAGTCAATAAAGTAAGTAAAGCTCTCAAAATGACCATGAAACAGTTTGGATTTAACACAATACAGGATTGGAGCAGTACCTCTAGACACTTGCAGAAATCTTGATCACAAAATAGACAAATATCGTTTTTTTGCCGATTTTTACATTTTTCATTTATTATCATACATAAATCGGTGTGAAAAGATGAATTAGACCTATCAAAGTTAATTATGTTGGGTAAAAAGGCAAGATATTAGCATTTTATCATTCGTGCGCCTTGTCCGGTATATACGGAAATACGGTATTTAGTGTGGTGCTCCAATCCTTTTTTGAGCCTCACTCAAACAGTTTGATGTGTTTTTAAAGTTCTAAAAGAAGCCTTCTTATTTACTTTCTATGTTAATATTTAAGCCAAAATGAACATTTTGTTGTAATTACACAGTATGATTACATAAATTGATTGTTCAACATAATTTCTCTTCATGAGTTACCTCACTTTTGTTTATTACATTGAATTATAATATATGCTTGAGGTATAAGTTTATTTGACAGAAATTTTTACCTTCAATTGTTTCTTGAAATACCTTCCTTTATTCATAAAAATGGCGTAAAAATTTGCTTAATTTTTTTTGTGATTTTAAAGTACATTGTACATTCACTTTACAATGTGGATGGAAAAAAATTGTTAAAAATTCATAGAAAGAGATAATACTGAATAAATGTTATCCAATTTTATTCACAAATACCAAATTTAACGACATTTAATGTTTTCACATTACATTGAATTCTTCATATTATTTTATAGTTTTGATTTGTTGATTAATATTTTGAAACAAAATGCAATTTTTGTTTATGAAATATTGAATATTTTACTTTTAAATTTATTATATACATAGATTTCTGTAACTGAAAAATAATTATAGTTACATATTTTTACTTGCAGCAAACTATGCCACATGCCATTGCAGGGAAATACCCACGACAAACAGCTCCACCTAGTGACCGTAGAAAACTAGCAGGTCAAGGTCACCTGCCCTCCAATATACAAACTGTAAAACATGTTGAATGATCTAATATACTGAACTATAGGGAGTATGAATATGTGATACTGTGTATTATCAAACTTGAAATTTGAAACTGAAGTTTCTTTTTTTTTCTCTTGCATTTAACATGTTGAACGATATACTAAAACAATACATGTAGCATGAGTGTATTAAGCCTCAAAAACACAAATATTTTTATTCTTATCTTTCAAAATTTGAAAAGCTTTAATTGACTGTGGTATCCTGTAACAATTTCCAAAAGTGGTGGTGTGGCCTCTGAGGTTAACATGTCGGACTAGTAATCAAATGTTTGCCGGAGGCATTGGTTTAAACCCATGTCAAGGACAATCCGTTGTATCTTTGATGAAGAAACATTACACTTATTGCTAAGTGAGTACTGATTGGTCCTAGGAATGGATTCAAGAGTGTTTCAATATGCTTACAGCTGCCAACACAATCAAAATCAAATAAATTTGTATAAACTATACAACTAAATAGTAACTTATTGGCCTTAAATCTAGGCCATCATTTGCGTATTTTTTGTGTTTTGCCAATTAAAACGGCTATAGGGGTTTAGTATTTGAATTAAAAATACTATTTTGTTAAGATGTTGCTACCTTAATGAAACAGTATTTCACATTCAGCACTATTTTCTTTAGGTAAAAAGCATCTTGCATGTTCTCAAACCATTATTTCAACATGATTAAAATCACATTTGCTCTTTCTACAGAAAGAAAACAAAACTTTTCTGAGACTTAATGATGTGCCTGTAAGAAATATTATCTTTTGTAAAGAAAGATTTATTCTTTATTCTCTAAATTTTCATTTTATAATCAATTTCTTGATTTTAAACAGGAGCATCTGTGTTGTTGATGTGTTACTAGGGTTACAGTTAAATCTCACTGATAAAACCTAGAAGTTCCTTTTTTTCTGTCTGAATTTTCATTAGCTTAGAGTTTTTCTTATTTGTTAGATGAAACATATGTTGGTTTTGTTAAAATTCATGTTCTGAGTGTTTTGTGTTGCTAGATTTCCAGTTTGCATTTTATCGTAAGTATGAAGATAGAATGTTGGCCTTTTGATATATAGAGGATATTCAAGTTTTTTCTATAAATACAGGATTTATTTTCATCGAGTGGTATGAAAATAAATATTTCATGAGTGGCAGTAGCCATGAGTTAAATATAAACATTTTCATACCACAAGATGAAAATAAATCCTGTATTTATAGATCAAAAAACTTGAATTTTCTGTTTATTTATATAATTTTTCTTTTTGATATTACAATTTGAAAGATTTTCCTTTAAATTTTGTGTATTTGCTTAATTTAGAAAAAGAAGTCCGGCAAGACATCAGTGAAAATACGAAAAATATGTTTCACTGCTGTGAAAAATATTTTTTTACAGTGAAAATACAGGAAATGAAAGTACGCATTTTATTTCATCAATATTTCATTCATAAGTATTTAATATAAAGAAATATATGTTTTATAATGTTGCATGATTTGTGTACAAATAAAGAGTATTTATTATAAAAATGACTGCTGTAAAATATGTATCATTAACAATGTTATATTATTTAGTTTTGTCATTATTTTCTCTTACATTGGAAAAAGAACACTAGATGGAAGTTAGATGATGTACTTAAAGCAGTTGATTTATTCATTTGATGTTAATTGGCTAATTAAAGGGACTGCACTGAGGTTTTTTTTGGCATGTTCGATACTGGAAATAGTCTCTGCAAGATTAATATTCCCTGTGATGGAAACAAATTAATTTATTCGTTTGATGTTAATTGGCTTATTAAAGGGACTCCACTTTTTTTGGACATGTCGGATACTGGAAATATTATTTCAAGATTAATTGTTCCTGTGATGAAGGTCTAGCCTAAACACTTGTGTGCAACATTTCAGATCATTTGCCTACTCTGTTGTTTCAGAATAATTATTTTAATTGTTAAAGCAGCACGCCTCCAGATTCATGCCTATTGTCTTGAAAATTTGAAAATGTATTTAACATTGTAATATTGTAAAGTTACCAAAAGAATGCAGTTTTCACATTATCATTGGCACTTACAGCCCATTTAAATTACCATTAAGAGGTCACAATATGCTAAAATAATCCTTGCTGCATTAGTAATGGAGTAGAAATATATAAATACTGAAAAATCGGTCATTAATCGCACATAACATGTAGATTTTTACTAGAATTTTGAAATTTTATACTTTTCCTAAATCTTAGTACATTTTCTCAGGTTTGATTTTATCGAAATATTTTTGCTCATCTGGAGGTGTGCAGCTTTAAAACTGGCAGAAAATTGAAAAGCTTTGCAAGGCTTTTTTACTCAAATTGGTCAAATAATAACACAAAAATATGGTTTTCAATATATTTCAGAATACATATCATAAATCAAATTATCTTTTGCATGTTCTATTGCCGTAACGGTCTCTGCTGATCTAAGCAAGAAATCCAAATTTTCTTTTTGTTGGCTTTTGGACCGCAATGGAGTTTCTTAAATGTAATTTGTCATGATGAAGCAAAATGTATGTACCTTATGTCAATAACATTTATCACATACCTGTACCGATTTTCGACTCCGTAAATATGGTATTGCACAAGGCTATATTTTGATGTGACGTCATTTACACTATACAAACAAAGTGAAATGTAAGTGTTACGCTATTGGCACGTCAATGAAAAATGATTATTTTGCACTTTAAACGGTCTTTTTCTTTTGGTATGTGATATTTGTGAAGGTTCATTACTAAATTTATTGAACTTGTTTAATAAAATAACTTTTTGCTCACCAGATGCTCGCATAATATAATTTAGTTCAACTCGTGCAATAAATTCAGTATTGAACCACCACTCATTAGTTATCATCTATTTAATAATGCATCTTTATATACATGTTTATTAGCAATCTAACAACTGCATTTATCTTTTTCTTTATAGCCCTGTCAAAGGCCTGATATGTAGCCTGTTTTAAAATAAGACAGATGGTCCTAATTAACCCTACAATGCATACATACATAAATATACAGATACTGTTTATAAATTTTCGCATACAAGTTTTGTCTCCGCAAGTACTTATTCTATTCAACATTAATCACAAATTTGCATTTATGATAATTATTTTACATAACTAAGGTATAAAACTCTCTAACATCAGTTTTTTAGTATCTACATCTATAAATTTTAATGATTTCTTAGTATGTCGATTATTCGACTATCAAGCTGTGAAAATTATCACCGTTTTTATTTCTCTTATTGTTGTGCCCCCACTTTAGTGGCGGGCATTTAGATTTACCATTGTCCGTCCATCCTTCCGTCCGTTCTCTTTTGTGTCGCACGTAACTCAAAAAGTATTAGACATAGAGTCATGAAACTTTACAGGAATGTTGATCAGCATGTGTAGTTGTGCACCTTTGTATTTTCGTCTGGATATTTTTAGTATTTTTTAGAGTTATTGCTCTTGACTTAATAAAATTTTGCAATTTTCAACTTGTGTCGCATGTAATTCAAAAAGTATTTGACATAGGGTCATGAAACTTTACAGGAATATTGATCAGCATGTGTAGTTGTGCACCTGGGTATTTTCGTCTGGATTTATTTAGTATTTTGAGAGTTATTGCCCTTGACTTAGAAATGTTTGCAATTTTCAACTTGTGTCGCATGTAACTTAAAAAGGATTTGACATAGAGTCATTAAACCTTACGGGAAGGTTGCTCAGCATATTTAGTTTTGCACCTGGGGTTTCGCTTGTGGATTTATCCAGTATTTGTAGAGTTATTTCCCTTGACTTAGTAAAAACTGTTTCATTATGTTGTTATTTGTTCCTTGAGTGCTTGAGTTAGAATCAACCAACTTTACAGGAATAATGATCAACATCACTAAATTACAGGAATATTGATTCACATCACTGTGAAGCTATGAACCTGGGACTTTGCATGTTGTTTTTTTCAGTTTTGTTAGAGTTATTGCCCTTGATTTACAGTAGTATAAATTTGCAATTTTCAACTTGTTCATGCATAGCTCAAAAAGTATTTCACTTGTAGGCCTGAAAGTTTACAAGAATGTTGGTCAGCATGTGTACTTATGCACCTTGGGGTTTGCTTGTGGATTTATTCAGTATTTGTAAAGTTCTTGCCCTTTACTAATTAAAAGATTTTTAGTTTTCAAAAAATATTTGACCTAGAGTCATAAGATTGACAGAACAGTGGCGCGGTGGGGGCACCCGTGTCTTATGGACACATTTCTAGTTACTCATTAAAGCATAGCCACTGTATTTACTGTGAATTGTGATAACTAATTTTTATACTTTGTATCTGACATGTCAATTTTTTAAATAAAAGAAATAAATAAGTAACAAATTGTCTTCCTTTTTCAGACACTTAAAAAGAAATTTGGAGTGTAATGTCAAGCATCTTAATTGTCGTCTGTCTGTCCATTCTTTGGTTAGCAATTTATATCATTGGAACTGATTGAAGGAAATATATATTATTTTGTAAAATATAATCATAATTTGACGATATGATTAGCATAGGTTCGGCCTTTCTCAGAAAAATGGACAAAATCAGACTAAGTCATTTAAAATCCTTATACATGTGTAAGAAATAAATAGAGACCAATTAATAAATAAACAAAAATTCAAAAGGAGGGACTGTTTTCACTGTTATTTATAAAAAGGTGCATAACAATCCTTATTTATCGGGCATAAACTTTTGCTCATTAAAAGTGTACAGTTTTTATTGAAATAAGCATGAATCTGGAGGCATGCTGCTTAAAGCAATTTACTTTTACACGCAACGACTTACATTTCTTACTTCAACAGTTTTTTAGACAGCTGTGCACGACTTACATTTCTTACTTCAACAGTTTTATAGACAGCTGTGCAGGACTTACATTTCTTACTTCAAAAGTTTTATAGACAGCTGTGCACGGATGATTGCTCTTGATTGTGTATATGAATATGTATATGACTGTTCCTCCTGAATTTAAGATCATTATAATTCTTAATAAAAACGGGGTAAATATGGTGTCAGATATGCATTTGATATGGATTTTTGGACTCTGGAAATAGAAGGGAGGGTTAATTGATAGATAAGATAATTAGATTCAATAATGATTACTCTTGTCACATGACGTCACGTGGTTTAAACGCTGAAAGTTTACTGGTTATATTTTCTAGGGTATGATGTTAATGTTAGGGGTGATCATATATGAGTGCAACTGGGTCAATTTCTTAGAAGTGCTTACTAAACAGTGTGCCAAAATAATTATCTTAATCCTTCAAAATACTCGCCACCAGATCTTTTAAAGGTATACTGTTCAGACACTTGAATATAACCGAACCGAGATTTTTTTCGCGTTTGATATTTTCTTCCATCAATTTGATTTTTGAGCTTCAGAAATATGGAAAAGTTACAATGGGCAAGATCTGGCAAATAAGAACGTTGTGGAAGCTCGACAACCTTGTCCAGTTTCAGATAGTTTCGGACAATCACCGCTCTGTGTGACGAAGCATTTCCATGCAACAACCTGACCACACCGAGACCAGTTGCTGGTCGCCGGATTTGTTTAGCTCACCTGAGCTTGCTCAAGGTGAGCTTTTAGGATCGTTGAATGTCCGTCGTCTGTCGTCCGTTGTCCCTCCACACTTGTTCGTTTACACTATTGCGGTCACATTGTTGCCTCAATCGTCAAACTTTGTAAGGATGCTTATCTAGTTGATAGCTCGGATGAGTTCGAACATGGGTCATCTCGGATGAAAAACGAGGTCACCGGAGCTAAAAATAGAAAAACCTTGTTAACACTCTAGCGGTAATATTTTTGCCTCAATCATCATCAAACTTTGTCGGGATGCTTGTCTAGATGATATCTCGGATGAGTTCTAACATGGGTCATCTCGGATGAAAAACGAGGCCACCGGAGCTATAAATAGGGAAACGTTGTTAATACTCTAGCGGTAATATTGTTGTCTCAATCATCATCAAACTTGATCAGGATGTTTATCTAGGTGATAACTCGGATGAGTTCGAAAAGGGTCATCCCGGATGAAAAACTAGGTCACCGGAGCTAAAAATAGAAAAACCTTGTTAACACTCTAGCGGTCACATTTTTGTCTCCATCATCATCAAACTTTGTCAGGATGCTTATCTAGTTGATAGCTCGGATGAGTTCGAACATGGGTTATCTCGGATGAAAAACAAGGTCACCGAAGCTAAAATTGGAAAAAACCTTGTTTACATTCTAGCGGTCACATTTTTGCCTCAAGCATCATCAAACTTTGTCAGGATGCTTTTCTAGGTGATAGCTCGAATAAGTTCGAACAGGGGTTATCTCGGATGAAAAACTAGGTCACCGGAGCTAAATAGAAATACCGGTAACACTCTAGCGGTCACATTTTTGCTTTTATCATCATCAAACTTGGTCAGGATGCTTGTCTAGGTGATAGCTCAAGTGAGTTCAAACATGGGCCATCTCGGATGAAAAACAAGGTCGCAGGAGCTAAAATTGAAACATCTTGTTAACACTCTAGTGGCTACTGTTTTGATCCAAATATCCTTTATATTGGTTTAAAAGTTTGTTTTGATGATTTCTAGCTTAAGTTCGAATATGGGTCACCTGGGGTTAAAAACTATGTCACACTGCCAAAATATGGAAAAACCTTGTAAACATTCTAGTGGTCACATTTTTGACTCAATTATCATCAAACTTGATCAGGATCATTGCTCAGACAAGTTCGAACATGGGTCATCTCGGATAAAAAAACTAGGTCACAGGAGCTAAAAATAGAAAAATCTTATTAACACTTTAGCGGCTTCTGTTTTGATCCAAATATCCTGTTAATTGGTCTGAAAGTTTGTTTTGATGATTTCTAGGTCAAGTTTGAACATGGGCCATCTCGGTTGAAAAACTAGGTCACACCGCCCAAATATGGAAAAAACCTTGTTTACACTCTAGTGGTCACAATTTTGACTCAATTATCATCAACTTTGGTGAGGATGCTTGTCTAGGTAATTGCTCAGATGAGTTCGAACACGGGTGGTCTCGCATGAAAAACTAGGTCACCGGAGCTAAAAATAACAAAAATCTTGTTAACACTCTAGTGGCTACTGTTTTGATCCAAGAATCGTCGAAAATGGTCTGAAAGTTTGTTTTGATGATTTCTAGGTCAAGTTTGAATATGGGTCACCTTGGTAAAAACTAGGTCACACTGCTCAGATATGGATACTCCTTGTTAACACTCTAGTGGTCACATTTTTGACTCACCTGTCATGAAACTTGGTCAGAATGCTTGTCTAGGTAATTGTTCCGATGAGTTCAATGGTCAGGTGAGCGATCAAGGGCCATTATGGCCCTCTTGTTTGAATATTTTTTTTTAATTTATGAAGGACTTTGCCTTTTTAAAACTTGGCATTTTCAGATTTACCCTTTGGTATGACAAATTGAATGACAGGACCTTGATTGCTAAAGAAAATTACTCACATGACCTTTCTGACGATCATGGTACGTTCTGCTATGCAAGGTCTTTGAGATCGATTGTTGTATATAGGTAACTGTTTTAACAACTGTTCGGAGATTCTTACCCGAGCAAGATTTTGCTCTTTTGTAAACAGATGGGGTATCTTTTAAAAGGAGATGGGGTATCCATCTGGTTCTTATCGTTCTCATTTTTAAATCACGTCTGAGAATTGTATAAGCGGCTCCTACAGATATACCAACGCATTTAGCTATATACCTAGTTGTAAATCTTACATAAGTAGCAATCAGATCCTTTATTTTTTCAACCATTTTTTGAGAAGTTGCATGAGGTGCATCTTTTACTGCATCCATATCACTTTTAAACTTCTTACACCAGTGTGTGACAGATGAAAAAATGTTCGTTGTTCCTATAAACACGACATATTTCATTAAATATGTCTTTCGCCTGTATACCAAGAATACAGCGGTTCTAGATATAAAACCGTATTTGGTGAGTGAAAGGAGACCATTCCCAACTAGTTAAGTTTTAGTGTACACGAGTAGATAGTGTTGTTGTCACAGCTAGATTGAATTGAGTTACACATGTATTGTATCAAATGAGAGCTTACATAACCATCGATGCGATGTTACATATAGTTTGTGCAAGACGTGGGTAATTATTGGCCTAGTTGCATTCATATTTGAACACACCTCGTATATCTATATGTATATAAATGCTGATAAATTATTTTATTCATACCCAGTTGATGAAATCAAGCCGTAGCTAGGCTATATAAAACGGCTGGTGACAGTTTCAAGCAAAACATAACAAAGGCAGTTTGGGTACAATATTTAATACACTAAAATGACTACATAGATTTAAAGCAATACACATGATATAACTACAGTTTGTTTTGTATATATATACTTAACTTAGTTTGTGTAAACATGGTAACCAAGAAACTCTTGATTTAATATTTTATTGCATCAGTTCTGTATTGTATCTATAAAATTAATTTTACAGTCATGATACGGTTCAAGTTAAACCACCATTTTTTTCTTTTCAAACTGATAAACCCCAGAAGAAATTAAACGTGTAATCGTGTCCTAAGATTTCCCGTTGGAGATTTGTTGTTCATACCAATACAACACACGTTATTTAAAACAAATATTAATATCTGACATTAAAAATATAATAATATAAAATTCTGTCCCAATATATGAAGAGGTTTATTATTCCAAAAGAAATATGCGAAAAAAATATCCTTAAAGAACCATCTGTCTGCAAAACCTAGCCTATTTGCACAAATGCAAAATACACTCAGTCGCTTTGAAAAGACCGGAGATATATACCCCATCCCCCATTCACAACATTCGCTGTTGTGAATAAAAAAAATAGAATTTGGAATGAACCTTCAACCAAAGGAGCACTGGCAATCAGTCTTACATCTATTAGAATACTTCATTGTTCTCTTCCTGTATAGGATAGTGTAGAGTAAAACGTCTTTAAATTCATTATTTAACAGACTGTGTTTTTCATTACGTAGTATTAAATCCATAAACTTTATTTAAGGCACATTATGACAAAGAAACAATTTATTTTATTCTTTAGAAAGGGCAAACATGAATTTTA